AGGAAAGTTGTTAAGTTTTAGCATTCTGTATGAAGCCATCAACTTGCTTACAACCACTATTGTAGCTAAAGATGAAAATTCAAAAACTGCATGTCGTTCAAGTTTGGTAGCTAGTTTTGTTTTTCAGTTCTTTAACCCTCTGATTGAAATTTCTGCGGGAGCGACCAACTTCTATTCAAATGGATATTCTAATTTGCCTTTTGTGAAGGATTTTGAACTAAAAGAGTTTTAAAAGCTCGGTGCAACCGTTGATGTATGTGAGTATTCGGCCGTTTGATGTAGAGTAGAGGTGGCAATAGGATCCATTAAGACAAAATCCATTCAATCTATCCATCAAAAAATCCATCCAATCCATCCACCACATAAAAAATAAGTTAATGGATTGGATTAAATCCATCTAACATATTTTAAGAATCCGATGATTATTTTTATTTTTGTTATATTATTTTTTAAAAAATAACTAAAAATAGATTTTTTAAAATCTAATTAAAAATAAAATTTTTAAAAGAAAAAAATTGTTTTTTTTCAATAAAAAATTGTAATTTTTTCAAAAAAAAAGATCGATTTTTTTTTAAAAAAAGAATTCATTTTTTCTCAAAAAAAATCGGTTTTTTTTTTGAAAAAAAATTGTTTTTTTTCTAAAAAAAAAGTCTGCTTTTCTTTTTTTTGAAAAAAAATCTATTTTTTTCTAAAAAAAAATCGGTTTATTTTTTCTGAAAAAAAAATCCTTTTTTTTTGAAAAAATTCTTTTTTTTTTGAAAAAAATCTGTTTTTTTTTTTTCTGAAAAAAAGTATGCATTTTTTACTAAAAAAGTTCGATTTTTTTTTTTCTAAAAAAAATTGGTTTTTTTTTCTGAAAACAAAATCTGTTTTTTTGTGGAAAAAATCGTTTTTTTTTGTGCGAAAAATCGATTTTTTTTTCTAAAATAAAAAACTGATTTGTTTTTCGAAAAAAAGTCGATTTTAAAAAAATGGTTTTTTAAAGAAAAAAACAATTTTTTCGAAACAAAAAACCAATTCTTTTTAATAAAAAAAATTCCGAAAAAAAGACCGACTTTTTTAAAATACAAAAAACCGACTTCATAATTTTTTTTAAATACAAAAAATGAATTTTCCAAAAATAAAATAAAATCGAATTTTACAAATAAAAAAATTTATTTATTTTTACAAAATAACAAATTTTATTTATTATTACAAAATAAAAAAAAAGTTGGATGGATGGATATCCATCCATTAAAAATATGTTAATGGATGGATTGGATGGATTTTATTCTTAATGGATGGATTGGATTGAATAATTTTAAGAAAATTTTAGTGGATTGTTAATGGACTAATGAATTGTTTTAATCCATCCATTAACAATCCAATCCACATCCATCCAATCCATCCATTTTGACACCCCTAATAAAATGTCGACAAAATAATATTGCACAAATTCACGAAGATTGTATCACAAAATATTAATAAAATATTACGGAATTTAAACAAAATTATATCACCAAATGTTAACACAACAACATTGCAAAAACTCAACACAAAAATTCACAAAATAATGATTAATCAATATGGAGATTCAATCAAAAATAAAAGAAAAGAAAATGATAATAAAAAAAAGGAAATAGAGAGGGATGTATTTGTGGACTGGTGTGTGAATAAAATTTGAATGGGTTTAGGGGCTTCTAGGCCCAATATAAAATTGAACATGAGATGGAGGTGTGACTAAGGTAAACGAGGGTGTAAGCAACAAACAACTTTGGGCTTGTGATCATGGGCCCCTACTAAATCACGCAGACGGGATTAGCAACAGGAGATAACTCTTTCTCCACTCAAGTGTTTCTCTCCTTCCCTAACACAAACAAAATTCTGGCGAACACGCGACCAACTCTCCTCTCCGGATTCACCTAAATTAAGCAGCAATTTACACTAATATTTGCCCTCAATCTGAACCCGTTACTCGTTCATCTCAAACCCAAGCCACAAAACTGAACCAAATCTTTGAATGTTGTAGCTCTCGATTCTGAATCGATCACGATAGCATGCCCTAAATGCGAAATTGGGACGCGGATGTGGTAAAGTATTTGTTCAGAAGCAACATATGATAATAAATTAAGCGAGAATCCAAAGATTGTGAACCGACAAAGGATTTCGATGTGGTGGCTTGACAACAGCTATTTCCAGATATTCGATTCCCCTCATTTTCTTCCTCTTCGTTCTTTTTCTTCAATCTCCTTTGTGGCTATTATTGATGGTGTGTAGTTCTTGTTGTTGGAGACTGATGAGAGAATTGAGAGATTTGTAGAGTCTTTGATGAGCAAAGAGTGAAAATTCGTGATTGAGAGAGATAAGAATGTCTAAGATGAATTGTGATTGAGAAAGTGTCAGGAAGACTGAAAAATGTAGAACCAAATCAGAGAGAATTAAGAGGGTGATTTTTTAGTTGTGTGATTCTCCCGGAAAAAAATGAGAGAGCCCCCCGGATTGTGAAGATCATGAACTTAAATAGGGATTCATCAGTAGCTGAATTAGTTAGGGTGTGGTTAGAATACAGTTAGTGATAACTGAGGAATGCAATTCAGTTATGAGTTAGTTGGAATATGGTTAGGAAGTTATGAACTTGAGATTACAGTTAGAGGTAGGGGTGTCAATTAAATCCATTACACTAAAATCTATCCAATTAATCCATCAAATCTATCCATTATATAACATTTTAGTTAATGGAATAAATCCAATCCAGTCACTAAAAATTATGGATGAGTCAAATCCATCCAACCAATTTTAAAAATTCATTAGATTGTTTTATAATAAAATAATTAAAATAAATTATGTAACAATTAAAATAAAAATTACTTTTTTAATTTTATATATTTTCAATATTTTTATATTTTTGAAAAAAAATTGACATTTTCATATTTTCGAAAATATTTGACTTCTCATATTTTTGAAAAAATTTGAGTTTTTCATATATCTAAAAAAACTCGATATTTTCATATTTCTGAAAAAAATTCAACTTTTTTCATATTTTCGAAAAAAATTGACTTTTTCATATTTCCGAAAAAACTCTACTTTTTTCATATTTTCGAAAAAAAGAAATAATTTTTTTCATATTTCCAAAATATACTCAATTTTTTATATATCTGAAAAAACTCGACTTTATTATATTTCTAAAAAAACTCGATTTTTTTCATTTTTTCGAAAAAACTTGACTTTTTCTTATTTTCGAAAAAAATCTATTTTTTCGTGTTTTCGAGAAAACTTGACTTTTTCATATTTCTGAAAAAAAAACTCGACTTTTTCATATTTCCGAAAAAAATATACTTTTTCATATTTCCGAAAAAACTCGACATTTTCATATTTCTGAAAAAAAACTCGGCTTTTTCATATTTCTGAAAAAACTCGACATTTCATATTTCTGAGAAAACTCGTCTTTTTCATATTCCTGAAAAAAACTCGACTTTTTCATATTTCCGAAAAAAACTCGAGTTTTTCATATTTCTGAAAAAACTCGACTTTTTTCATATTTCCAAAAAAACTCAACTTTTTCAAATTTTCGAAAAAAACTCGTCTTCTAAAAAATATCTACTTAAACTTGACATTTTCATATTTATGAAAAAACTCGACTTTTTCATATTTTAGAAAAAACTCAAATATTTCATATTTTTGAGAAAACTCGACTTTTTCATATTTATGAACTCGATTTTTTCATATTTTCGAAAGAATCTACTTTTTCATATTTCCGAGAAAACTCGACTTTTTCATATTTCTGAAAAAAAATCGACTTTTTTTATATTTCCAAAAAAATTTGACTTTTTCATATTTCCAAAAAAACTCGTCTTTTTCATATTTCTGAAAAAACTCGACTTTTTCATATCTTCGAAAAAACTCGAATTTTTCATATTTTCGAAAAATCTCGACTTTTTTCATATTTTCACAAAAAACTTAACTTTTTCATATTTCTGAAAAAACTCGACTTTTTTCATATTTCAAAAAATACTCGACTTTTACATATTTTTGAAAAAAAACTCTATTTTTCTTATTCCGAGAAAACTTAATATTTTGTATTTCTAAAAAAATTCGACTTTTTCATATTTCTAAAAAAACTCTACTTTTTTTATATTTTCGAAAAAACTCGACTTTTTAATATTTCTGAGAAAACTAGAGTTTTTCATATTTATGTAAAAACTCGACTTTTTCATAATTACTAACAAATTTAATTTTGTGAAATAATTTTTTTATAAAATTTAAAATATAAATTATTAAAAGAAATTAATTAAAATACTTAAAGTAAGTTTTTGGATGGACGGATATACATCCATTAAAATAATATTAACGAATGGATTGGATGAATTTTATCTTTAATGGATAGATTGGATTGGATATTTTTTAGAAAATTTTAATGGATTATTAACAGACTAATGGATTATTTTGATCCATCCATTAACAATCTAATTCATATTCATCCGATCAATTCATTTTGCCACTCCCAGGTTGAATTTTGTTAAGTTCTGTTTGTGACAATTTAGATAACTTTGTGTTAGTACATTAGTTAGGGAAGGGACTATTAAGGGGTTAGAGGATATGCTATTGAGCCAATTAAAAAGTAGTTGGGAAGTGGAATTCGGTTAGGAGGTCTTTGTTGAGTTAGTTGACAGGAGGTTAGCTATAGATTGGTTCGACTTCAAATTGTTATGGCCTTGTGTTTTTTATGTTAAGTGTGATGAAGTTAGTCTTGAATATGGTGAACAGTTTGTGAGTTCGAATGTTTGATCATGATGCCTTGATAAGTTATTTGAATTGTGGAGTTTTGTAGTTACGACAGTTGTGAATTAATGTACTGATTTATTGTTGTTGTATTTTTCTACAGATGATGTGCAATTAGGTCAAGGAGTATCCAAGCAAGCAAAGACTTCCTTGTATATGATTAGGCAGTATCGATACAACCGAGATCCAAGATATTTTGCAACCTCAGGATGTTTCACCATTGCAGAATCGATAGAATCCCATTAAAATTGAGCATGGAGATTTGTTTCAATATCGTGACCCATCCCTTCTAAAATGACAAGATCTACATCATCGGCAAGGCAATTAAGCTCTTGTGAGACCTTTGTAAGATCGATAGCAGATAAATCATTTCCACCTTCATAATAATCAAAAGGATGTCGATGGGACCGATTAGAATTTAGGTCCTTGCACGAACTATTTTTGAATGCAAAAACAATTCCTGGATTATCATAAGATATATTTTTTAGCGGGAGCAAACCCAACACTATCACGATTCTCAATCGCGATAAGGATATCTTCAACAATAAATTTTTTTCCTTGGTTCTTTAGTTTCCTTTTCGCTTCAGCAAAATTAGATAAGTTTGTATAATACTCAGAACTATTAACATCAGAGGGCACATGAATTGTCAATTGATACTCAAAAGGAGGCCCCTCGTCTTTCTGAACCTTAGGAATAGTAGCAGCAGTCAGAGCTAATATTGGAACGACTAACACTCCAACAAATATGGAACAAGAAGACTTCTTCCATGAATGTTTAATTGGTGAGTTTGTTTTGTGAATTTCTGTAGCAGTTAGCAGCTTGCTTAATTTTGTCATGTGTTCACTGTTAGTGCAGTTGGAGATTCAATTTGAATCCACACCAAAAACACTTGCTTTCAAAAACCTTGATATTCATTAGCCATGTGGAGTTTTAACTCTTTAAGTTCCACATGTATTGTCGTCCATGTATTCAAAATGGCGCTCGCAAGCAGGCGTGAACCAATTCATATGGAAAAGTACTAATGTCATCTCAGGCGTCGAGACATTGCACGTGTGAACGATGATCTCGCCCTCAGTTTATTGTGGCTTTTAGAACTATGTGGGCTGAGTTTGAGTGGGAACTAGAAAAAGGAACTAGGTTAGTTGGAATTGAAATGGTTTTACAGTTGGTAATGAGTGTGAACTATAGAATGTTAGCAATTCTTGTCGGTTATATGCTGAACTAATTTGTGTAGTGAACTTGTAATGCTTGTGTGAAAACATGTTATTGCTGCTAGTTGTTATGGATGTTAGAATATGGGATTATGTATTGACTTAGTGTGAACTGATGGATAGAATTATGTTGAGCTAAAGGTTGTTATGTTTGACAAAATAAAAGTCGGAAGCCAATGGCATTCATTAGTGAAACTTGTTTGGCTAATTATTAATTAAATGTAAACTAATGGTTGTTATAAAAGTTGAATTGTATTGTTGGTTTTTTGTATTAAACATGGCATGCTATGCACTGTCTTGGCCATGACCTTTCTTTTCCTTTTGGATGGAAGTGATGTGGTGATTTTGTTTGGATTGGTGTGGATTTATAAGTCGAGTTTATGGATTGAAATGGATGGATGTGTATGTGTATTTGCTTGTTATGCTAATTGTGAGTTGCTATAAGTGGTTTTGCAGGTTGGCAACATGGTTGTGGAATCATAATTCTATGGTACTTGAAGCAAAGAAGTCGCATGGTGCTCATGAGATTGAAGCTTGATGCAGCTTTGAAAACACTTAGAAACAGAATTAGGGTAGAGTTGACTTTGGTCAACTGTTTGACCAAAAAGTGGTCAACCATAGGTGCAACGACACAATTTTCTTATAATTTCCAAATTTGATTCCTTTGTAATGTACCTGCATATTTATAACTTGTAATGAACATTATTTTGAAAATGTAATGCCTTGTTCCTCCAAAATTTAACTGAATTACTTTGGATTACGCACTTGAATGCCATATAAATGAATCACTTGAATAGTGAAGCAAGCCATCAAACCAACAACCATGTAGGAAACCAAAATGGACAGAGGATCATGCTAGATGACTGATTCCAAAAGACAATGGCATGATGCACCCATAACAAGAAAATAACCCCTTTCAAGAATTAGGATCTCGTGATCAAGTCCAAAACAAGATTCAAGTCACCTAATCAAATCCAAACCAAATGGTCGCCCATATTAGGGTTTTATACATAATGGAAACTCATGAGGCAATCTCCATAAGCCAAGGTCTCAAGCACCAATAATTAGATCTCCCATAGACTTGCCAAGCCAATCAATAAGAATGTAAACACACAACCTTTGAATCAATTATATGCATGCAATTATGAAAGAATATCTTATAATAGATGATTAAGGCATATGATCATACATAAGAGCCATAAACCAGATGAAGTTTGAAAAAAAGTGGGGCAGATTTTGGGGTATGACAGCTGCCCATATTTAATCATATTGGATCTGAATGTGGAAATTGCAACAACTTTCTGAGCATTCAAGGAGGAAGAGGATTAAATACAAGAGTATCCAAAAAATTTCCATTTGAAAATGAAGATGTATTAAAAGGAAGGTAAGTGTATTGTTAGGAATTTGTTTATTGGAGATATGGAATGGCGGAGAAACCTTTGTGTGAAGTCCTCAGTTGGGGATTGACTTAACATTCCGCTGGGGAGATGATTCAGTCGTAGGATAATAAAAATATTCTAGACAAACCATAGATACTAAAGAGATTCTGAACAGACCAGAGAAAATTGGAGATTTTCTGGACGGACCAGAGAAAAGGAAAATGGTATTTAAGCCAAAGAGGTGGGTGTTTTAACCAAGATGATGATTAACCCAAAGAGTGGAGAGCATGGTATTTTAACTGAAAATTAATGATTAACCAAAAGAATGGGTATGTTAACCAAAAAGTGGTGATCAACCCAAAAGAATGGGTATGTTAACCAAAAAGTGGTGATCAACCCAAAAGAAAGTGTCAAAGAAAACTTATGCTTTGGTGCATGTTTGAATTTGTATGGCGTAATGCTCTGTCTTGACGGATATGCTACGCATTTGAGAATGAAATTCTATGCGATGATGATTTTTATATGTAGAATGCCAGTGACTGGGCTTTGTGGGATATCAAGAAAGTTAGGCCTTAGGGACCAACCAAGGTTGGGTTTCGGAGGTGCCAAGTATGATTGGGCTTTGGCTTTTCTTGTTTTGCAAGCTTCATGCTATGCCAAATGAAGGATATGCGTGAGTGAAGTGACATGATTAATGCATGAGAATGAGTGATGCAATTGTTTGATGATTCATCAAGGGCTCATGTTATGGGAGATGGAAGATTTGAGGCTAGGATAAGGTCATCTATATAAATAGAGTTTTAGACAATGGAGTTCATCTATATAAATAAAGTTTTAGACAATGGAGTTCATCTTGTAAATCCTGATTCGTTGATTTTTAAGGCATTGATTCATCAAGTCCATTTTTTTGTCCAAGAGGGTCTATAATGGAGAGTAGCTAAATTAAGAGATCGGTTCATGCTCGATTCTCTTTCTTAAGGTAAATTCGAGTCGCATTCATTTCAAGCAAGGAGTTAAGAGTTTCAAGGATTTAATTATAATGGAAATTCAAGTTTAGTTATTATTGTTTTATACCAAGAATGTAAAGATGTCATAATTTTAAGGCGATGAGTTTTGAGGTCCAAGTGCTGAAATAACAAGGGTATTCTTCTTCAACCCGACCCTGCATTAGCTCCTTTTAGCCCAATAACATAAAAAAAAATCAACAAACTGACCCAACTTCATCTTCAACCCATACCCAAAAATTTCAAATCGAAACAACAAACTTCCACCTTCAAATTAACACCCCATAACCCAACCCCAAAACCAGATCAAAACTTCATACAATCTTCAATCGTTTAATCAAAACGAATCAAAACCAGAAATGGAGGAGATAGATTTGAGATAAAGAGTAAATCACGAACCTGAGAAAGACTTGAATAAACTGGAGGAAGAGGTTGAAAGAAAAATGATTGATTTGAGTTGAAATTGGAAACGTTGGCATAGAGATTCTCTTTTCACCAAGTTTGTCTTGATTCTCATGGAAGAAGTTGATCCGCGAGCACATTTTGTCCTTTGGTTACCTTGTTTGTTGTAAAAGGATAATAGAACACGTTTTTTCTTTCACTCATGGTCGTGTTCTAATGGTTTGATGTTAACCTAGGCTGGTCCCTTTTTTTATGTTTTATTTTGGACCAGGTAGGATGGGCCTTGCTAGGCTTATGGGATTTCTGGATTCATACCCCTGGTATTTCTCACGCACCGTTTTTTATTTTTATTTTGTTAACCGTTTTTTCTTCCTCTTTTACATCTAGTGATGAATGGGTCGTGGAGCCCATTTAAATATCATCATCACCCATATTCATTTTACACCTCCTTCTCTTTTGTTTTTATTATTGTTTTCTATTCTTTGTTTTTTTCCTTTGGTTTTTTTTCTTATAATAGATGTTGATACAAAATAGTTTGAATCTATTTATTAGCGTTTTGATCTTTGGTTCTTCTCTTTTGATTTCTTTTTTCTTTTTATTTGATTTTATTTCATTTTTCGATCTATGAAGTCTTTCGATTCACGAATGTTAGTCTTCGAGGTTGTTAACCTTCATTATTTCAAATCTGTAGAAAATGATCATTTGAATCATTTTTCTATACTTTGGGATCGTGAGAGATTACCCTCGATTAATTAACACGAGTTTGTGATTAAGACGAGATCCCACCCTTCTTTTGTTCGTGCGACACAATTAAATTAGAAAATAGTCCTCAATATCATTTCTCTATCTTGTTTTTAACACGGATATCAACTTGCGCGACCTCCTATAGCTTGATCTTCATCATAAGTAGAGCTACAACGGCTTAGCACTACATTTCGTCCTGATTCTATTCAATAACAAACTAACCACTAACTTTACTTTCCGTCAATATACAACCGCTTTGTTTTCGATCAATATTATCTCGATTATATTATCTTGTCCATATACTTGTTAATATTTATCTTGATATATTATTGTGAATATTACCTTGTTTATATTTTTATATATCCTGTATATTATTCATATCTTGTTCATATTCATTTTATTCATCTTATTCACATTCTTTCAAAACACATAATAACTATCGAAACCATAAAATCCTAAATTGGTGGACTGTTGGTTGTTTGTCCGAGTGACAGATCTTTGGACTTTGTCAAAAACCCTAGCTTGGAGTTGTGTTCAACTTTTGCTCAAGGCGTAGTTTAAGGCACATTGCACACACACGGCTTTCTCTTGGGCTACCTGACAATGAGACCTTTTATTTTATGCAATCCCGTGTAATTTACATGTACCCCTTTCCCATTTTCGATGTACGCTTTCGTATTTCTTTGATTGTGGTTTATCTTCTAGGAGCACCCCTAGGGACTAGCGTAGATTAAACTGTTTTCAAACTAATTCTCGATTCGACATCGAGCCATCTTCAAACACCCCTCTGTAAGTCAAGTGCTCGTCCGCATTCGCCATCAACCTATCGCACACACTGTCACACTTCTTTATCATTTCGATATTAGGAGCACCCTAAGGGACTAGTATCGTTTCTCACACCTTAACCCTTGATTCTTCATCAAGCTGGTTCCATTTTCAATCAAAACCCTCGACTCGTAGTCGAGCCATTTTCAAACCCACTTCCATTCCACCATGATTTTTGCACGCAAATACAAGTCAAACCCTTGATCCAATGTCAAGTGGATTTTCTCAACAAACTGTTAAACTAATTCACCACCCTTTCTTTTCAAAGTGT